CGCATTCACCATCGGGAGGCGCTATAATCACTCTCGTAGAAGAATTTTGCTTTCACCATCCAAAATAAATAAAGTTATCCAACATGTGCGTCCGATAGCTCTGCCCCTTCCGCTACATAAGCAAACCTGCGGTCGTTGAGTGCGTGAAGTGTCCATCATTACACACTTCATTTTAGCGACTGAATGAGTGCATCATCCGGGTAATTAAAGTGCACTTATTATTTTTAGAGTTTTCAGTGTGAACGCACTACTTACACTATTCATACTACAAAATGGCGTAGAATAGTGCATAAGTATGCGATTTGGGACGCAGTAACTGACTTACCCAACCCTGCTCCATATTGTGAATGATGTAACATGCTTGTCCCCTACACCCCAACTCGTTCTTTACGTTCTGCTGACTCTGGCTTTCTCGCTGTCCCTCGGTACCACCTCTCTTCAATGGGGGCAGATCATTTAGTGTTATTGCACCCAAACTCTGGAACTCTCTACCACGCTCACTCCGCTCTGCTAATAATATTTCTGAATTCAAATCCTTACTTAAGACTCACTTATTTTTTGAATGCTTCGCTTCTGACCTGCCAAACTGACTACTTTATCTGATCCAACTCCACTCTGCTCATTTGTCTCCTTTGTGTTATCCCAGTTTGTTACATTTGACTTCATGTATGTTTGTTTATCTTTTTGTCGCATTCCTTGTTAAGTGTCCTTGAGCTCTGAAAAGGCGCTATATAAATAAAATTATTATTAATGTATGTAATTTAAAAAAAAAGAAGCTTTCTTTCATCAGTGTTTTTGTACTGATGTATTTTCTGCACCACTTAAGCTCTGGGAATGAAAAATATGATCTTGCCAAATCATATCAGAGCCTGACATGTTTCATTCATTGTTTCTCCCCATCACAAACCAACAGACGAGCAGAATAACGAGCTGGAATCCTCCAGGAAAATGTCAGCTATTAAATTGCAGCAGCGTATATTCTATGACCTGTTGAAGTCAATCTAAAATATGTTAGAATGTTAGCGACAGATGATTTACTCACTCACTCTCATGTCATTCCAATCCTGACTGCTTTTCTTCTGAAGAACATAAAAGACGATGTAATTATAGAGGAAAAAACATCATCACATTGCCGTCAGAGTACGATTTGTGTCTCTTAGAAGAAAGAAAATCATACAGGTTTAAAATTGTATGAGGGCGAGTACATGATTTTCTCTTTTCTTTTGACTGAGCTGTCCCTTTAAATGCATTCTGCTGTGTTGATTGCGTTGATATCACCGTTCAGTCTTCAGCTTTTCTTTTTTTTCCCCTCTTGTTTATCTCGTAACATAATTCAAATTCACTGATTAGGCTGAACCCTGCACTGCTATCTCACTTATCTTTCGCTATAGTTGGCTTTCACTGTCACATAAAATCTGTGAGCGTAATTACACCAGAGAGAGGAAATCTCCCAGAATGACTCTCTCTCTCTCTTTTTCTCCATATGAGAGCTGTTTTTATAGGCCAGACTGCATCGGTCCCTTTAAACTCAAAACAAAACACACGTAGCCATCATCCTCGTATGGGAAACCTGAAGGATGGGAGCTGCGTTCCTGATTATTTTCTCCTAATGTTTTGCTTGTCATATCTGTATTGACAGAAAGCCCTGTGTTTACCACTTTGGGGGATTGGGCTATCAATATTTATGTCGCCACAACAATAAATTTCCATTTTTAATGCAAGGCTGATGCCAGAAACGTCTTTGACTCATATCTGCAGTTCGGTGCTGTAGAAACTGTCCTACATCCAAATGCGTGTGAACAAGGATAGAGAGGGCATTTGCTCCTTGGAGAAGCTGGACTTTGTTTTTTTTTTTTTACGGTGGACGCCAAAGGCTGGCTGAACTGCCTACTTATTGATTTGCCCAGGGCTAGAGAGATGATTTCTAATACAACCGGAAATCCAGGAACTAGAAACGGATGTCTATGATATGAATAATGTTTGCTCTTCAGCCCGAGGCACTAATCGTTTGTCCAAAACTGGAGACTTGCTAACAATAGTGTTGTATGGTCCATTCCTGTTTATGCACTAAGCTCATCTAATCAAGTGAAACCCACTTAAGTTCATACTAGTTCAGTCCATCCAGTTCAGTTTAAAGTAGTCTAGACCAGTTCAGTTGATTATCAACTACAAATAATGCAAGGTTTAAGGATTGAGGTCATCTAATCCATCTAACATTATTTAATTTAGTCTAACTAGTTCAATTCAGTCAAGTGTAGTGTAGACCTATCCGTTGTAGTCAATTGTTTTCCAATCTAGTTAAGGTTGAACTAATCAAATTTAGCCATCCCACTTTAGCCCAATCTGGTCCAGTTCTGTACATTCAAATCTATATCAAAGTTGTCTAGCCTAGTCGATCTAGTCCAGTAAAATCAACATAAGTCTATAGTTGGCAGCATTGCAGTCTTGTCCAGTTTCTAAATCCAAATCAGTCCAAAATTGTCTAGCTCAGTCCAGACTTTCACCACCTCCAATCCAGTATGTTTTATAGACTGAAATAATCTAATCTGATTTAGCTCACTGTAGTCTATTCTTGTCCAGTCTAATTCAGTTAAAAGTAGTCTAGCCCAGTTACATTTTTATTTATTTATTTTAATTCCTAAGTTCTGCTGCTTGGTGCATGTGCTGAATTTTCCTTGCCAATCTTAAGCCAATTGTAATCGTTTGTTTTAGTTCAATTCGGAGTTTCCACAACCCCTTGCAGAGCACAGGGGATCAGAGTGAGCGCTCCTACTGGACCCCACCCTGATCCAGCCCAGTTCAATTTAACTGGACTGATCAACTACAAATAGTGCAAGTTAGTGCAAAGGTTAGTCCAATCTGGTCCAGTTCTATACATTCCAGTCTAATCTAATTCAAATTTGTCTAGCCTAGTCAATCAAGTCAAGTTAAATCAACATAAGTTTATAGTTGGCAGCATTGTAGTCTAGTCCAGTTTCTAAATCCAAATCAGTCCAAAATTGTCTAGCTTATTTCAGACTTTCACCACCTCCAATCCAGTTAGTTGGCAGCAATGTAGTCTAGTCCAGTTTATAGGTAGTTTATAGTTAATATAGACTGCACTGGTCAAGTCTAGTCCACTCCAAGTCAGTCCAGAATGGTCTAGCTCAGTCCAGACTTTCACTACCTCCAATCCAGTATGTTTTATAATCATCTAATCTAAGATAGCTTACTGTAGTCCATTCTTCTTCAGTCTAATTCAGTTTACAGTTGTCTAGCCCCATTTAGTTTAACTGGACTGATCAACTACAATAATGCATGTTAGTGCAAGGTTTGTTAATTGAGGTCATCTAATCCATCTAAAGCTGTTTAGTTGAGTCAAACTACTTTAATTAAATCCACTGCATTCTATCCCAATCCATTATAGACCCTTCAGTTGGGGTTGAACAAATCAAATCTAGCCTAGCTCAGTTTAGTCCAATCTAGTCCAGTTTAGTACATTCCAGTCAGATCTCATTCAAAGTTGTCTAGTTTAGACAATCTAGTCCAGTAAAATCAACCTAAGTCTAGTTGGCAGCAATGTAGTCTAGTTCAGTTTATAGATAGTGTGTAGTCAATATAGACTGCACTGGTCAAGTCTGGTTGGAAGCAATGTAACCTAGCCTTATTCACTTCTGTCACTACTGGTCAAGTCCAGTCCAATCCAAATCAATCCAAAATGGTCGAGTTCAGTCCAGACCTTTATCAAATCAAATCTAGTATAGTTTATTGACAGAATATAATCTAGCTTACTTCAGTCAATTCCTGTCCAGTACAATTCAGTTCAAAATCTATCGTATCATCTAAATTCATCTTGTTTACTTGAGTCCATACTAGTCCAGTTTTACCCATTCTTGTTTAGTCAATTCCAAATACATCCGAGTAGCCCAGATTTGTTCATTCTAGTATGATCCTTGTTCAATATTAAAGTTGAAGCTATTTAGTCTAGTGCAAGCAGTCCAATGTAGGTCCAATGTAGTCTAGCCCACTTCATTATAGTCCATTGTAGTCTAGTCCAGTTTAGGTTGAGCTCATTAAATCTCACCTAGCCCACTTTAGTTCATACTAGTCCAGTTTTGCTCATTTTTGTCTACTCTAATCCAATTAAGTCCAAGTAGCCCAATTATAGTTCAGTTTATCCTAATCCCTGGTACAGGTTAAATTTGAATCCATATAAACTAGTATAAATACTACTGCAGTCCAATTCAATTATGTCCAATGTAGTCTAGCCAAGTCCAATGTAGTCTAGCCAAGTCCAATGTAGTCTAGCCAAGTCCAATGTAGTCTAGCCAGGTCCATTGTAGCCCATTGAAGTCCAATCCAGCGTTGGCTAATCTCATCGAGTCTAGCCTAGCCTTTAGTCCAATCTGATCCAGTTCAATTAGTATTAGTACATTCCGGTGAAATATAAGTAAACGTTGTCTAACCTAGTAAGGCTAGTCCAGTAATATCTAAAACTTAAGTCTATAGTTGGCAGCAATGTAGTCTAGCTAATGGGCAGAGTTCATTTAATGTAGCCTAATACTCCTTTTTTAACTGTCTAGTTCAGTCCATTTTAGCGCAATCCAGTCTTTCATCAACTATCGTAACCAGCCCAATCTTATTAACTTATGTCTTGTCCAGAAAAATCCACCTAGATTTATTCCAGTTTTTCCCATCTATCGTCTAGTTAAGAGCATACCAGTTTAACCCCGCCTAGTCCAACCCATTAAGGTCCCATTATCTATTAGAGCCATCGGATGATTGCTTATGACTTTGGCATCAGGCAATGGCAGGTGGCATTTGTCTTAATGAATATATCATAGACTTGTGTCATGAAACGCATAATCAAAGCTTAGTAAAGGAAGTAATAACTTTCCCATTAGCAAGAAATGAGGAATAAACCGCAGTCGATGAGACCTGACGGTTTTATGACTACGGTATTAAGTAATGACACACATCATAGACTCATTACCGCATTGGATCTTTTCTCTCTTTTACAGGGTTGTAAATGGACTCGGTCATGGGAGCTACTGCTTCGCGCTCCTGCGCTCCATCCCAGCTGTTTTTTACGTGGTTTTGGTCACGGCTCTCCGATACCACCTCTTCATCTGGAGCGTGTTTTCACCCAAACTCTTGTACGAGGCCATGCACACCCTCATCACCACCGTCGTGTGTTTGTTTTTTACCTTTATGGATCAAGATCGCTCGACCAGACCATGAACACAAGGCCAGAACCAAAGTCAAACTCAGGTACAGAACAAACTGTGAAGCTGGAGTTTCGTGTATACCAGAAGGCGAAACTAATCGACTTTGTGTTGAAGGAGAAGCGTTATTTAAAAAGGTCTAAGGTGTAATTTTATGGGTGAAAGAGGTTGAGATTTCAGAGCTCACATTGAGATTTGGCTCGCTTTACCGACTTTAACTGATTATTGTTATTTTTCAATAGTGCAGATGATATACGGCACAACTTGTTGACGTATTTATGATCATCTGTATCCTCTATGCAGTTTGTTTCCCTCCTAAAGCTTTACAGATAAAGCAGAGTGTGATTCTTTCTTGGTATCTTTTGCAATTTCCGTTCCTGACCGTAGCTTCACCTCTGAAATAATACGAGATAAGATGCATCATTAATAACTCTCCCCTCCCTGAGATCGCAGCTGATGTAAACTCCTCACTTGAAAGCTTTAAGATATCTTAAAAAGTCTTTTAAATCGTGTCGAAACACAGATACATGTGACGTTTGAGTTGGGAATGTGAATTGTAAACTGATTTATCTTGGTAAGTGGTTTTTGCTTATGTTAGCACATTTAGATCTGATTAATAATAAAACAAACCATTTTTTTCAATGAGAGTAAATCTTTTCCGCATGCTTTTTTAAATGTGTGATTCAAATAATTTTCCTTTCCGATTTGTCTTGTTTTGGTGCTGTTTTAAAGTAAGGAACTGTTATTTATACAGAGATACTAACAGCTTGATGTTACTTTACGAGATGCAGTAAGCAATACCTTTTGTCACTCGGTTTCTATCCTCATCACGATGTGTTGCTGCACCACAGTGAAATCTCTCTGGCTCAAAACATTGATCCCATGTATGATTATTATGGTCTGGCTTATTTTGTTGATGCATCTTTGTTTTGACGAATTCTGCTGTGAAAATGTCTGATAAGATCAAAAATGGGAAGTTTTTTTTTTTGTTTTTTGTTGTTGTTTTCCTGAAAGAAACCTCTATTTCTTACCAAGGCTACGTTTATTTCATGAGAAATAAAGTAATGAAAATGTAAATCTTATTATATTAAAATATTTAATTAAATATTATGTGGCCTCAATGCAAATGTTACTCATTCACATTAAATTGCACATTATTTAATGTGTTCCTCATGTTTATTTTATTTTATTTAAATAAGTTTTGGTTCTTGCAACACATTTCAAAACAAGTTTTGAACAGTAAAGCATTTTTTACTTTGTAATGTTGCCATTTCTTTTCACAACACTTAAAAGACATAGGGAAGACACCAAGTGATGAAGTGTTTCAGGTGAAATTGTGTCCTGTTCTTCACAGGGTCTTCGTTATCGCATTTTGTGCCACACATTCTCTATTAGAGACAGGTCAGGACTGCAGGCAGGCCAGTCAAGTACCTGTATCTTCTACCTCTAAAGCCTGGACTTTGTAATGAGTGCAGAATGTGGTTTTCCAGGCGTCCCTGGAAAAGAACAACCCCACACTATGACAAACCCTAGGCTTTTAGACTTGTTGCTCAATGCAAACATTACTTATTAATAAATTTTCCATGCATTTTTTAGTTTAATTTTAAATTCAATTTCAGTTCTTTAAATGTTTAAAGTTATAATAATTTTTTTTTTTTAAACCTTTTTTGTGATTAATTTGACTGATTTGGACTCACCAGACAGTGCTAGCAAGACCTTATTAAAAATGTTTTGACAAACTAAACTTGACAATGAAATTAATAAAGATTTGAAGCTAAATAAAAAATGTGTTTTGGAAAACCCTTGCTGTATCATTTTGAAACTTGATTTTTTGTTTTTTTTCAGCACCAGTCCCTGGGGAAAAATGAAGATGAAGTCAGAATTAATAAACCTCCTGATTTATTACCACAACCCACCCCCCCCCCCCCCACCCGTTTATTTTTTTCTCCCAATTTCTGTTTAATGGAGAGAAGACATTTTCAACACATTTCTAAACATAATAGATTTAATAGCTTATTTCTAATAACATATTTATTTAATCTTTGTCATGATGGCAGCACACCATTGTTTTTTTTGTGAAATTCCTAATAAGTTTGATGCGTCAAATGACCTCTTCGTATTCGAAAAAACTAAAGTTGGATCCTAAATGGCCGACTTCAAAATGGCCACCATGGTCCCCACCCATCTTGATAAGTTTGCCCCCTCACATATACTAATGTGCCACAAACAGGTTGTTAATATCACCAACTCTTCCCATTTTATAAATGTGTATCCACCCACCCTGTATGTTTATATATATATATATATATATATATATATATATATATATATATATATATATATATATATATATATATCTTTTTTTTTTTTTTTTACCAATAGGTGGTGCTGCAAAACATAAGCTATGTCTTATTTCAGAAGGAGATAACAACTGCCGTTAAAAAGTAATCAAATTTTTAAATAATTCTTTTTCAAAGGAGTTTTAAACTTATTTTAGGCAATCTGAAGACAAAGCAAGTTTTACAAAAGCTGGAAAAATACTTCCTTTGATCCGTACATGTTCACAGAAAAAAGGTAAACTGTCTATAAAATCACTTTTTAGTAAGACATCTCATACTTCTTTTGTTTTTAAACGACGCCCTTCAAAGTGATTGGGAAACGTTGACGCTTACACTCCCATGTGAATAGGCCATAACAGCTTGTCGGAAGTGCATGTAATTACCATAAGGATTTTTTGGCAAGAAGATTTGCTTAGTCAATCCGACTAAATCTATACTGTAAATCAAAAGTAATGTAAATAAAATATATTAGTTTTAAATCATTTAGCTTAAAACACTCAGCAAAAATCTTTAATGAGTTAATAACGAGCTCCTCTTCATTTCGCCTCTGTTGATCTGTGGGTCCCGATAATTGCTGCTTGCAGTTATCTTTATTATCTCTGCCTCTATTATGTTAAGCATTAAACATTATTTACCGTGAAAACGCTGAGACAGGATGCAATTACTTTCCCAAAAATAGTCCATTCTCCCTCAAAATTAGAGCTCTTGTTAAGGATTGTGGAATCATCGGCGTAACAGATGCTGTTAGCGAGTGAAGGAGGAGCTGTAGGCGTTGAAATGTCCCAGCAGTGCACTACATCCACATGCTGCTTTGACCTTTTGATTGGCCTGAGGAGTTGATTTGTAACCTAATGGCTTTTTGAACTGCAGGCATCCTCCAGGGAAAGAGAGGAGAGAGAGGAGACTTTCTCCCACCGGACTAAACATGGTCTGGATGCTCACTGTGACCTCTGGGCCTCTTTTCACATGTCTGGGTTTCTCAGAAATGGAAGTCCTCATTGTTGGTAAACTTGGAGTACAACAATAACAATAACAAAAATTACAATCCTATTTGCTGAAATAATATTTTTGAGGCGTTCTATGGTAGTCTACTATGTTAATAATGTTTATTTTCTGTTTGAGTTTCTGTTCTGGCGTGTGAAAATCGGCATTCATACTTGTTTTGAAGCTGTGGCGGGTCAGTTTTTTTCTTTCTGCTCAGCGGGTGTAAATCTGTGAAGGGCGAGCAGCAGAAGCATAAGAAAGCTGTGGCTTTAAAGCTCTCCAGACTGATTCTGTAGCCTGTCCATCATCTTCATCTGTGTCTGTCAGCGAGCAGGAGAAGCCGGGCTGTTTTTAATGCTTTTCTCGCTGCTCTGCTGTCCATCGTCCCCTGCTGTCTGTCCTCTTTCACAGTTCCTGTCCTGCTCTGTAAACACTTATCTGTCATTGAGCAGAGATTCCTCTAACTGGACCATCACCACTGCTTATTTATTTTAGCATATGCACTCGAGGTCAGAACTATTAGCCCTCCTGTTAAATCAGATTTCTAATTTCTGTTTAATGTAGAGATGTTTTTTCGACACATTTCTGATCATAATAGTTTTAATAACTGCTTTCCTTTATCTTTGCCATGATGACAGTAAATAATATTTAACTATATATTGTTCAGGATACTGGCGAGGCAGTGGCGCAGTAGGTAGTGCTGTCGCCTCACAGCAAGAAGGTCGCTGGTTCGAACCTCGGCTCAGTTGGCGTTTCTGTGTGGAGTTTGCATGTTCTCCCTGCCTTCGCGTGGGTTTCCTCCGGGTGCTCCGGTTTCCCCCACAGTCCAGAGACATGCGGTACAGGTGAATTGGGTAGGCTAAATTGTCCGTAGCGTGTGAATGTGTGTGTGGATGTTTCCCAGAGATGGGTTGCGGCTGGAAGGGCATCCGCTGCTTAAAAACTTGCTGGATAAGTTGGCGGTTCATTCCGCTGTGGCAACCCCGGATTAATAAAGGGACTAAGCCGACAAGAAAATGAATGAATGAATGTTCAAGATACTACAACCCCAAATCAGATAAAGTTGTGACAGCATGGAAAATGATAATAAAAAAAGAATGAAGGGTTATCTAAATTTACTTTGACTTGTATTTAATTGCAGACAATGCAACAAACAGTATTAAATGTGTTCCTCTTAATAATAATAATAATAATAATATTACATTTTATTTATATTGCGCTTTTCTCAGACTCAAATCGCTAAAAAGAGCATCAAAACAAGAACATGAAATACACAAAAAAGTAAGAATGATAATAATGATAAAAAATACATATTAAAAAGAAGCCTTATAAGTTATAATATATAACTTATAATATATAAGCAATAATAAAAAGATACTTTTTAAGAAGTTTCTTAAAACAGTCCAGGGAACTGGCGCTCCTGATGTTACCGTACGTTCACACCGAAAGCGGCGAGAGTCAAAGTAGCCGGAAGTCATTCATTTTCAATGAGAGCCGGCGGCGATAAGCGGCGAGGAGCAGCGCGTCTTCGCCGGCGTGAGTGTCGAGAAGAGTGGAAATGAAGTCAACTTTATGGTAATGAGCTATGACGCGATTCGGCGGCAAGCAATCAGAATGAAGACGTCCATCGCTTGATAGCAGTTCAGAGAACACAGACCTGTGAACTTTGGTTCCGACCACAGTTGTTCCCAAGGGTTTGATTATTGCGGTCGCCGGATTTCCAATTATTTAAATTTTTTTCCTACTGGAACATACATTAAATAAGTTACTGGCGAGTTACTGATGTTCATTAATGATATATAAATTTATCTTAAAAAAGCGAACAGTATTTAATGTGTTCCTCTTAATAATAATAATAATAATACATTTTATTTATATTGCGCTTTTCTCAGACTCAAATCGCTAAAAAGAGCATCAAAACACAGAAGAACATGAAATACACAAAAAAGTAAGAATGATAATAATGATAAAAAATACATATTAAAAAGAAGCCTTATAAGTTATAATATATAACTTATAATATATAAGCAATAATAAAAAGATACGTTTTAAGAAGTTTCTTAAAACAGTCCAGGGAACTGGCGCTCCTGATGTTACCGTACGTTCACACCGAAAGCGGCGATAGCGTCAAAGTAGCCGGAAGTCATTCATTTTCAATGAGAGCCGGCGGCGATAAGCGGCGAGGAGCAGCGCGGCGCGTCTTCGCCGGCGTGAGCGTCGAGGAGAGATGAAATGAAGTCAACTTTATGGTAATGAGCTATGACGCGATTCGGCGGCAAGCAATCAGAATGAAGACGTCCATCGCTTGATAGCAGTTCAGAGAACACAGACCTGTGAACTTTGGTTCCGACCACAGTTGTTCCCAAGGGTTTGATTATTGCGGTCGCCGGATTTCCAATTATTTAATTTTTTTTCCTACAGGAACATACATTAAATAAGTTACTGGCGAGTTACTGATGTTCATTAATGATATATAAAATTATCTTAAAAAAGCGAACAGTATTTAATGTGTTCCTCTTAATAATAATAATAATAATAATAATAATAATAATAATACATTTTATTTATATTGCGCTTTTCTCAGACTCAAATCGCTAAAAAGAGCATCAAAACACAGAAGAACATGAAATACACAAAAAAGTAAGAATGATAATAATGATAAAAAATACATATTAAAAAGAAGCCTTATAAGTTATAATATATAACTTATAATATATAAGCAATAATAAAAAGATACTTTTTAAGAAGTTTCTTAAAACAGTCCAGGGAACTGGCGCTCCTGATGTT